AATTACAACTCACCATCAGTAGGCACGTCAGGAAGACTAAGCGTATCTTTTTCTTTCCTCGACGACTTCCGTTGAGATTTTAAGATTTCGGCCCTATCTAAAGCCTTTTTTGCAACGTCTCGGAGTTTTCTTCGAATGTCTGTCTCACATTGTGACTGCTAAAAAACTCACTGTATTTTTTTACGTTGGTACAGTAACTGAGACAGCTACGAAACCAACGTGCATTTTAAACCAATAACAAAGTGGATGTACATCTCGTAATTGCTAGAAGATTTACAGAAAGCAAACACAGGTCAACAGCTTGCATATAAAGTTGAACGGCCTCTTCTGGGTCCTCTGCCTTATCAGCATCTAAAGCTTGATATAGAAGGAACTCGGCTCTTTCAAGATTCTGCTGATGTTTGCTTTTGACAGTCGAAGACAGTCTTGATGTACCTTCAAAATATTAAAAAACAGTAAAAGGAAGAGAAATGCGAAAAGATTTTGTATCAAAGGTAGTGTCATTTCTTACTAGATCTGTGCTTAAAAGAAAGATAGTGAGCTAATCAAGAGAATGTCATTGAGAATATAACAATTAATGATAACTAACGCCGAGCCTTGATTATTTCCGCTCGAGAAATATATCCCTCTGCAGTCTTCTTATACTCCACAGGAGCTTTCCCAGTCTGGATCAAATCTAGCAGTGTCTGTGCAGCATCCTAAACATAACAGTGTTCGCCACTCAAAATCTACAAGAAGCTGCACTGAGGAAGTTGAGGAAAAGCAGTCAGGAAATAACAATAAACTTAAAGAATATTTTTACATTAGTACTGTACCAAAAGAAGAATAATGCTAAAGTACGTCAAAAAGAATCCATAGTAGTTAAAAAAAGTATATCATTTGGCGGTTGAGTCATCATTATTTTCCAGCAGAAACCTACCCCGTAAAAGTAAATGGCTGCGTCATAGCGACCTGCTTTATCATAATCGATCGCTTTTTGGGCAGACCTTGTAACATCTTCCATGCCGAAAAAAGTTCTATCTGGTAAATCCACCTCAAAAACCTCCGTAAAATGACGTCATAATTTATGCAGTAAAGATCTGATCAAAAAGAGCAAAAAAATATTTCCATGCAAAAATATCTATTCAGAAAACGCTGTACTGTAATTTAATCAAAGCTGCCTCCATAAGTTAATCGAGTTTTAAACAACCCTAATGAATAACAGGGTTCGAAATCAGTTCAGATAAAAGCCACCACGGAACTACCTAAAAATAAAGATATAACAATCAAAGTCCGTGATTTCTGTACACTCGTGATTTCTGAATACTCATGACGCACTGTATTTATAGCAATGAATTTATAGTTTTACATTATACAGCTATAAGAATAAATAAAAGTTTTCTTCTATTCGGCCATCTTATATACATTGAACCGTCAACAGTACTAATACCAAATGTAAATGCTTTCATCGGAGAAGTTTAGAACAGATAAATTTTTTTCTGATTACATGTATATGTACGGAACGGTTTATAAATTACTTTTATTTTATATTTTAAAATAGTTACCAGGCGCTGCAAAGGAGATTGGGAACCAAAAAAAAAACCGCCAATCAAATATCGCATCAACTGATAACTGCTGGTTGCTAGACTTGTGGCGGCAATGTCTGCCGCGTTTGGCTCACATTTACTCATCGTTTGCCGTTGCGCCCTTGGCACTTCCACAACTTACCGTCGTTCTTTACTTGATTAATTTGAGTAACAGCTACCTTACTGTTTGTTAAGTAGGTTTGTTAAACCACGTTTTCTTATTTCAGATTTGGATTAATTTAAAAGGCATTAGCCCTGTCTCGTATATTCTGTTGTTCACGCGATCTACGTTTCGCTGGTTACTGATCTTCATTCTTTACGCATAGTTTTTAAATGCATTTGAAACCTTTTGAACATTTTTCATTCAAGCTTTTCTTCCTATTCTTTCAATAAAAGGCAAATAAAGCAAGTTGCAGAAAGTAGTGCATTACAAAAGTGGTTGTATTACAGCAAAGGAAAAAGACGAAGAAAACTTGACGTGAAACCGAACCGGAAGGGCAGTATTTGCAAAACGACTGTGGTTTAAAATATGTTACAAGGAGATTTCTTCATGAAGGAGGAGATATGCAAAAAAAACGCCATATGATGAGAAAATCGAGAATAAAAAAAGAAATAAATGAATTTCCTGAAATTACAGTAAGTGATATAGACGAGCCAAAAACTCTCACTGTGGAAGATGAAGGCAAATCAATCAGAACAACAGCAAAAAAAGAGAAAGCCAGCTTAGAATTGAGATCCGTGGAATAAAACAGTGCCCTCCTTCAATTGCAATGTTAGAATTCGGTCTAACTTTCCCGAAACTAATTTGAATTCAGGGCATTGTGTTCTTGTAGTGTTTGTTTCACAGTAACTATTCTGGCGTATAGTGTTTCAAAACCATAGAAAAAACTCTGGTAACAAATCCCCCCATTTCATGGTAGACTTTGAACTAAAAAATGAAAGAATCCCGATATTCTACTGTTCTTTCAAGTCAATAGTGTATTCAAGACTAGCACTTCTAAACACATTATATCAATCACAATATACTTTAAGTGCCTACACGGTAGGCTGAGTATATCCACTTTTTTATTTGCTTATTATACTTACTGCTTGGCAAACAACAGCTCCGAGTTTCCAAACAGTACTTGTTGAGAACGATGGTACGTGACGAATATAGTGAATACCTACATTTTCTGAACGAATTGACATTTATTTGCAACCTTAATTCAAATTACAAATTTCAGCTGCAGATGAGTAGGTATTACGTCTTATGCTACAAGGATTAATATATCTGCCTGTAGTAAATCGCCAGCCATATATAAATATATAAGAATATACGTATAGTATACAATATATGTTACATGTG